ACCCAAAGGTTCTACTGCTCCTGCTTGCAAGGGCTGGAGCTTTGGAGCTTTGCTTTTCTTGCTTCTGAGTAAACCCTAGGGCTGCGTTTCTCAACCTTGATAGCCTTAAGATAGGTGGACTTCAACTCCCAGAATTCCCCAGCCAGCCTTGGGGGGGAAGTCCACCCCTCTTGGCGCTACCAAGGATGCTGGCTGGGGGATTCTGGGAGTTGGAAGTCTGCCTATTTTAAAAGCTGCCAAGGTTGGAAAATGATGCCCTAAAATAGGAGGTGGAAGGAGTCTTATGTTTACCACCTTGAGTTATTTATAAAAGTAATAACAGCGGGATAAAAATAAATATATATTTTTTAAAAACTTCACGATTTCATTTTGCAAATGATCTGACTTAGTACATGGATCAGCTGGGCTGCCAACAATATTATTTGCGCGATGGTGTAACATCAGACAGGTTGTCATTTTGATGTCATCGTGGCTTGTGACAGGCACTTGGGCATCCTAGTCTGGTTTGCTTTTTTGTGGTTTATTTAATGAGCAACAATTAGCTGAGGTCACAGGACACACTAAGCAAGGGAAGGCAACTTGCAGCTTTCACTTCCCTTTTTCTAGCTCTTCTGAGCTTGGATGATGAAAATGAAGGGGACCATTTCCTTCCTTCTTTTGAAGTAGAAACCGATGAAAACTGTCATTCAAATCCTAAGTACTACATGTAGTAACTGTGAGAGGGATCTCGGAGTCCCAGTGGACAATCACTTAGATATGAGCCAGCCATGTGCGGCAGCTGCCAAAAAGGCCAACACAGTGCTAGGCTGCATTAACAGAGGGAGAGAATCAAGATCACGTGAAGTGTTAATATCACTTTACAAGGCTTTGGTAAGGCCACACTTGGAATACGGCATCCAGTTTTGGTCATCACGATGTGAAAAAGATACTGAGACTCTAGAAAGAGTACAGAGAAGAGCAACAAAGATGATTAGGGGACTGGAGGCTAAAACATATAAGGAACGGCTGCTGGAATTGGGTATGTCTAGTTTAACAAAGAGAAGGACGAGGGGGGACATGATAGCAGCGTTCCAATATCTCAGGGGCTACCCCAAAGAAGAGGGAGTCAAGCTATTTTCCAAAGCGCCTGAAGGCAGGACAAGAAGCAATGGTTGGAAACTCATCAAGGAGAAAAGCAACCTAGAAATAAGGAGAAACTTCCCGACAGTTACAACAATTAACCAGTGGAACAACCTGCCTCCAGAAGTGTTATATGCTCCAACACTGGAAGTTTTTAAGAAGAGACTGGACAGCCATTTGTCTGAAATGTATAGGGTTACCTACCTGAGCAGGGGGTTGGACTAGATGACCTCCAAGGTCCCTTCTAACTTTATTATTATTATTATTATTATTATTATTATTATTATTATTATTATTATTATTATTATTATTATTATTATTATTATTATCATCATCATCATCATCATCATCATCATCATCATCATTATTATTATTATTATTATTATTATGGTTCAAAGGAAATCAACAATGTAAGGATTTTTTGCATCTTGCCCCCAGTAATCTGAGTCCTCCTTTTACCAACCTTGGAAGGAGAGGAAGGCTGAGTCAATTTTGAGCCCTGTCAGGATCAAACCCCAGGCTGTGAGCAGAATATTCCCGCAATACTGCAACAGCATTCCATTTCCCACCATCCAATCAGAGCTGAAGAAGCTTCTTGGAAGAGAAGCGAAACATCTTCAAAGAAAAACGAAGTCCAGTTGCCTCGTGAAAAAGCATCTTTGGGACATTGGGGGGGAGTGGAAAGAGATTTATGACTAGTTCTTGAGCTTACAACAGTCACAGCGTCCTCATGACCACAGGATTAAAATCCAGGCACTTGGCAACCAGCATGTGTTTAAAATAGTTGCAGCATCCTGGGGGTCATACGATCACCTTTTATGACCTTGCAGGCTGGGTCCATGAAGGGAACTGGATTCCTTTAAAACATGGGTGCCAAACTTGTCGCGTCACATGACGTGTCGCAACATATCGCAACTTTTTTTGCATTGGAGTGGGCGCGGCCTCTGTATGATGCAACTGGCCCCTGCCTTTTAAAAGATCACCCCTGCAATAAAAGGTAATAAAATCAGGTGCAACTCAAAAACCACCTCGCTTAGTGATGGATGTCTCTGCCCTTGTCTCTGTCAAGGATTAGCTGTAATTGACCCAAGAGTTAAGATTGAAAACCTAAGAAATAAGGTGTCCACATGTCATGTGTTGATATGTTGAACAGAAGCCATATGATTGCACCTGGCTTGCTGGGAAATTGATGAGTAATATCGTCAAGAGATTGACAATATGCTGCCTTCCGTATTTGTGCTTGTTGAAAGAAGTGTGCATCATCTGTGGAGAATCTGATTGGCTGGATCAAACAAATGCATAAGACTCAATCTTCTATTGAGTCAGAATCTGAATATATCTACCCATTAAGCCTACACTGACTGGCAATGAATATACAGGGTTTCAAGATGGAGATTTTTTCCCCCTAGATTGTTTCATGCTAGGCAGATGTAGAACCGATTTGTTTACCAGTGGATCACATTGATCTGTAGTTGCATTAAGGAACCTGTTTCCGCTTTAACACTCTTGAAGAAACACTCACCAAGACAGGGGTGTTTTCGGGATGTGTGTTCTTTTGCCATCTGTTGTATAAATATTTAAAGAAGCGCCAAAGCTGGCTTTGTTTATAAAGAACTTAAAAATAAGATGTAGCCTTAACATAGCAGGTCTGTTGTCTTTGCAGCATCAACAGCAGAGAAAGAACGAAATGATCAAGATAAAAAATGCTTCACTCACATAATTTTTCCAGGCCTTTACAATGCAACGTAGATTAACTAGTTTTCTATTGTTTGCTTGCAGGCAGGTTGTTATTTTGGTCTATTTTGCTGACACTGATCCTCCAATTTCCAGATTTTGTTCTCGCCATTTGGTAAAAGGAAAAGATTCGCTCCTAAAGGGATTTGCTTATTCTCAGATTGCTTGAGAATTCCTTCTCAATTCCTCTTGGCAGTCTTTCTGAAACCACATGCTGGAGATCCTGGGATCCTGCACCTGTTTCTTGTTGCTCCAGTTTGTTATTTTGAAGTCCTCCCTCCCCAATTTCCCAATCCGAAAAAGTCCCCAAGAGAAAGAGAGAGAGAAAAAAACAACAACACTAAAAAACTAATGCAATCCTAGGCTGCATTAACAGAGGGATAGAATCAAGATACGTAAAGTGTTAGTATCACTTTATAATGCCTTGGTAAGACCACACGTTGAATTTTTGGTCACCACGATGTAAAAAAGATGTTGAGACCCTAGAAGGAGTGCAGAGAAGAGCAACAAAGATGATCAGGGGCCTGGAGGTTAAAGCATACAAAGAACTTTTGCAGGAATTGGGTATGTCTCGTCTAACAAAAAGAAGGACTGGGGTGACATGATAGCACGTTCCAATATTTGAGGGGCTCCTACAAAGATGAAGGGGTCAATTTATTTTCCAAAGCACAAGAAGGCAAGACCAGAAACAATGGATGGAAACTAATCAAGGAGACAAGCAAATGGCTGTCCAGTTCCTTCATAAAAACCTCCAGTAATGGAGCACTTCTGAACGCAAGCTATTCTATTGGTTGATTGTTCTCACTGATGGGAAATTCCTCCTTAGTTCTAGGTTGCTTCTCTCCTTGGTTAGTTTCCATCCTTTGTTTCTCGTCTTGCCTTTTGGTACTTTGGAAAATAGGTTGACCCCCCTCTTCTTTGTAGGAGCCCCTCAAATATTGGAACAGTACACAAGAGAGCCAGTTTGGTCTAGGATAGGGGTGGGGA